CGTTTATTTAGATGTCACAGGATTTTGAAAATTTTTTAAATCTCTAGGAAACAGAATATTGTATATTTCATAAATAGAATATTATATATTTATATGTATCGATAAAAATGGAATATAATTGCATTTTATATATATACATTTTTTAAATTATCAAAATATAATTTTTTCATTATTTAAAATTTTATTTATTTTATTTATTAAGTTTATTTATTAAATTTGATGTCAGTATTTCTAAATTAAATGTTTACCAGAAACAAGGGAAATATATTATATAATTTTCGACACAGAAATACTGTATGATGCAGTGTTCGAGAACATTTCATGTTTGTTGCAATAATATTTGTCTACTTTTCACTATTTTTAAGTCGGCGTCTGGCAAGTTGCATGTAACATTTTCTACATTGGATAATGATCTTCTCACAGTTTCCTCTTTTATTATCTTACTTTTAGTTTTATTCTCTGGCAGTTTTATCCAAAACAACGAAAGATTCGATGCTTTTAATGTTGAAGTTAGAGGACAAAAGACTTTTGAAATCATCACGCGAATCGTGAGCTGTGTTTAAAACGAAACTCGAGTCGTTTGTTTCCTTTTTTAACTGGCCTCGCCGAATTCTCTGTGGATGAGATCCAAAAATGTGGAAACGAATCTTTTTGTTCGCTGTTGTTTAACTGAGCATCGATCGTGATTAATCGGAGCATTTATTAATTTTTGTTCATCTTCAGCGAATATTTCTAATGAAAAGCCAAGTAATTGGTAAAAGATGAGAATTTTCAGATGAAAATTGCCAAAAGTCAATGAATTAAACAAATACGATTTGTTAATCACAGTTATTATCATTGAAATGTCAACATATCATAATTAAATTCAATTAAACAAATTACAACATTCTACCGTGCGCGTGCGAGAGAGAGAGAGAGCGAAAACTCGTTTGTATTTCGCGCGGTTTTCGTCGATCGTCGCGCCTCTCGCGATTTCAGAAGATTCGAATTCATGGCGCGCACGCACGAAAATAAGGATTGCATGTACGCGGGAGTCTAGATCATTTATACTAGCAAACTAAAGAAAAGGAAATCGACCACGAATGCGTTCGAAGAGGACAGATCGCTTGAATTGAATGTCGAATAGATAAAACGAGAGATGGTTGAAACAAAACAAACATCGAAATCGAGGGACAATTTGAAAATTACCTTATGTTTAAAACTTACCAGACTGAATTATTTATTATTTATATATTTATTACATTGCCCAAGACTGAAGATTAATTTGAAAAAATGAACGTTCAGCAACTGCAGAGGCTACTAGATTAATTTCAAAAGATTTCAATTACCTTTCATATTCTCTTACTCACAACCTGTGCCAACAATCACACAAAGATCCGCGAGATGTCACGGATCTTATAAATCTCACGAAACCACCAAGCAAACTCACGAAAGTTCCAATTACTCCAAAACAAAGAGGATATCTGTCGCCTGGAATCTCCAGATTCGCGAGCAGAAACAGCGTGAAATCTCCAGGCGAAACGTTCATTCGAAAGAACGAGACGAGCAATCGTGTGCTGTTGCCGTGGGAAGGAGGATCGAGTGAGAGAAGTGAAGAGGATGAAAAAAAAAAAAGGAAAGGAGGAACGCGGAGAAGAGAGGGAGCGACGAACGTGTATGTAGTAGAATCAGAGAGCACATGAGAGAGAGAAAGAGAGAGAGAAACAAGCGCTGGACGAAAGAGTGGAGTTGTGCACCGATTGCTGCATAAGTGCACGCGCGACTGTGTGAACTTGTGCACGAGTGAAAGAAAGAGGATGGAGAAAGGGGCTGAGGCGAACTGAGGGGAATAGTTTGAGAGGGGCAGGGGTGTGAGAAGTGCGTAGATGCGTGGGCGTCTGTCAGTGAGCGCGAGAACGTTGCGTGAGCCGCTCGTCGCCATCTGCTCGAGCAATAAGGTTCCCTTTACTCTCGTTTCGCCAAACTTGACAATCACGCTCGATCGACTTTCAATCGCAAACGAACGAGTCAGCCCGCTTGAATAATAATTTAACGAGAGAGATTGCCGAGTAGAAGAGGATTTCGGTGGTGAACGGCGCGAGTAGTGGTAGACATCGAATGCGAATTGTGTCTGGATTACGGGCCTACCACGACGGATATTTGCTTTATGTAAATTTCAAACACGGATCGTCTATCTAAAATCGACTCACTTCACCTTCGCTTCGAATTGATTGTTAATTGCGTTCGATCGATTCGATTGATCAGTCAACGTCTGTCTGATTGAGTAATTAACAAGAGGAACGAAGAGGCAGTGATTATGCGAGTTTTTTTACAATTGCTTTTGGATCGTGGTGTTTCGCGAGAAATGATATATTATTGTTCTGTATATGTATAGTTTTGACTTGTAACGTTTGTAATTTTAGAATTGGTCGAGATATTACATTTCGATCTTAATCAACCAGGAGACATAATTCTAACTTAATTTTAGAATCGGTTCATTGATTAGAAATGAAGCTGTGAGATAAATTTGAATGTTGGGATACTGACTTATCAAATTTCATTGAAATTTCATAATGTTAATGAATTATTAGTTTAGATTAATTTAATTTGTCTTGAATAAGAATAACAAGAGTTGTTTATTGACGATAAGATAGATCAGATATTGTAAAATCGAATTAATTTTTGGTTTGTGTGGTTTCCATGTAAATTTCAATATCTTATTACGAACATATGTACGTACATAAGAATCAATTTAACGACTTATTCACGTTTTAATTTATTCACAATCTATTGCTTAATCCAATTCTGTTATTTAAGGAAAATGTATAGACAATCGTTGAATCACTACTCTTAACATTTCAGAAAGTATTATTTGTATTAAAGTATTCCTAGTGTATATTACTCATTGATGAATCAATAGCGAAGAGCAAAGGATTATTAATAGTAACAAAGTGATGAATGAAGATGTCTTCTTGAAACGTAAGAAACGTAGCGTATCTATTTATAATGCATTTACAATATTAAAATAAAATCCATAAGAATGAAAATATTTATACAGATCATAAATTTATTGGAATAATAAAATTTATTAGAAGCTGCCTTTTTAAATAATAATAGCAACAAGTTAGCAGTGAATAAAAAACAACTTTCAACTTTCGAAATATTTAAATTATCAAGTCAGTCTAAACGAATGATGAACAAATTCGAATCTCCCTCGCGTATTAAATTGATCTACAGATTTGAAGGATTATTCTGTCACTCTTCAAATGTAGGTTTTGTTCCGGGTAACTAGGACAGCATAATACTATTAGCAGAGTAGAGATTTTACTATTAGAAGGACCAAGAACCGTGAAAGTCTCTAATGAATTAATTTTAATATTCAGCATGATATTCAATGGGACAAGTTCACGCTGCTTCTTTCTACTGCTCTCGAACGGAATCATGTAAACTTAACGAGTTCACGAGTTAAACGTCATAAATTTCTCTTTTGACCATTGAAAGAAAAATTATTAAATTATTAAATTAAATTATTTCTCTTTTGACCATTGGAAGGAAAATTATTAAATTATTTAAATTATTTATACATTCAACAACATCACTGTTGTTTGAACAATATTGTACTATTTGATGTTATTTAATGTCAAAAAATTTTGTATCATTATCATAGTATCATATTACAATATAAACTTGTATAAAATATAGGATTTACAATATAAACTTGTATAAAATATAGGATTTTCCTATATGAGTTAAAAATTGGAAGGAGTAATACTGAAGATAAAATAAGTATAGATACATATTAATTTGGATAAAAAACGATTTTTCAAACTAAGAATGACATATTTAAATGAATTCTATTTCTTCTCTTAACAGAGAACTTGTATCTAAATTTCTATCTATATATATATATATAGGTATGTCTATTGAAACTTTTTGAAGCAGCTTATACATTCTTAGACTCTAGAATTTTTGTCTCTAAAAAAGGATCTAGTTCCATCGAACACGTCACTCTGTCACTGTCGCTGTAAACGTCATTCTCCTTTCTCAATACCGTGATTCCCCCGGAAAGCTTTCCAACATCTATATCCGTTATCATAAATTATCTTACGAGCCACACGCTGCAAGTAGCTACACTTAACACCTAACGGGAGTGCCAGAAAAATATATGTATACCGCATAAAAGTATCCGTTTCCCAAAAATAAATCGTGAAAGCTGCACAAAATCCGAGAAATGTAATTTCTAACGACACGAGTGACGTGTTTCTTTCTTCTCGTGTCTCTGGGAATACTTGTTCTTTTTATTTTTGCTCATGCTATTCTTCTCCATTTTCTTCTTTGTCGAACGAGAAGAAAAAGGAAAAGATAGTGAAAGAATTTTTCTCTCGATCGTAGACTTGAAGAGTTTTTCAAAAATTTTCAACGCGGATGTATGCGTGATATTAAAAATTTTATTATCAACTAAGAAATTTAATTAATTTACAACAGCCACAAAAAATGTTGCCATTATTTGATCCTCCAACGAAGCTCCTTTCGATTGGTGGCTCTACATTTCATTTCCATAGCATCAGATTTTCTAGATGATGTCGAATTTAACACTGCAGTCGATGAAAATTGTCCTTGATCATCGCTGTCTATAGCAAGAATTTATTCACCTTTAGAAACTATTTTTAATATTTTTCAAATCATTCTGTTTCTCAAAGTAAACCTCATTCAACGATATAAAAAAAAAATCGACAATGGTTTCGTAAAGATATTGAAAATTGTAGACTGTCTGATTGCCAGAGAGAGAAGACGAAGAGAAGAGAGGTATAAAAAAAAAAAGGAAAGGAAAGTGAAAGGAGAGAGACTGTATCCACGGGGCGCGATTAATCTCTGCGACGAGGGTGTGAAAAAAATTTCGATCGTTCGGTCCTCGTTGCTCGTCCGGCGTCTCGACGCTCGGCATCCCCACCCCTTTCTCTAACAGATCTAAAATTCTCCCCCCACCAGCTCGGCCCACGTCCTCGTGGAAGGCCGTGATCGTTTTCCGCGGCGGCATCAGCCGGCAATTCGCATTCGACCGACGTCTTGGTTTAAAGAGTCTCGGGGACAAGACTTTTTTGATGATGACTTGACTTCTGCCGACTGGAGTGAGCCGCGGCCTCAGGCAGCACAAACGAAGAAAGTTACACAGAAGCATAAAGTTACGAGGATAATTAAAGGAAGAGCAAGAAGAATAAAAAGAAGAGGAAATCGATTTTTAATTGGCGGCGAACGAGAGCGAGAGATACATAAGAGAAGAGAGGATCGATCAATAATTTCGAATCGAGCCATCGCGAGTGACACACGATAGGATACGTATATTTCATCCTACCGATCTGTTTTCTCCTCTCGGTTTTCGTTTTTCGCCTGTTTCTCTCTCCGACTATTCTTTTTTTTTTTTTTTTCGTTGTTGAGTGCCAAGTGACGTTCGTCGTATCTCGAGCAAAAAGAAGAAACATTTCTCTCTTTCTTTCTCTCTTGTGACCGACACGTTACGAGAAAAATCCGACCGACCATAATCGATCCGAACGACTTGGATTAAATCGATTGGTCCAAGATGAAGCGACAAACGTCTCAGCAGCAGCAGCAACAGCAGCAGCAACAACAACAGACGATCATGCAACAGCAACAGCAACAGCAGTATATACAACAGAGGACCGAGAGACAGGTCACTCGGCAGCAGATCACCAGTCAGCAGAGAGGTCAGTTCGGTGATGATTTATCGGTCCTGGTTTATTTCAAAATTTAATCTTCGAAACGTGTTGTCTCTTTTCCCTTTTTTGGGGGACAGTGAAAAATTTAACAACAAAAATTGAATAACTGTCGGCCCTGATTTTAGTCTCGATAGGAGATTGCAGATATTTTGCATGCGTGTGATTCATCACTGACAGATCACTGATCGAAATTGGCATGATTCTCTCATTTTGAAAATGCAGAAATTAAATCTAACTTCGTTCGCCCCGAATAATTTCTTCAGCTTCTCCGATCCGTTCAGCATATTTAATCTGTGCGACGAAGAACGGTTTCACGATCGTCTCTGAATTCCCGTTCAACTCGCACGAAAATTCACGAGCGAAACGGAGGAAGGAAGCAGAAAATAAATCGGTGGAACCGTCGGATTTCTTAGCAGAGAGCCACATATCCCCTCGACGAATATTCTATTTTCGAGCGAGAGCACCGCCCCTGCGCGAGCTCTAAAGATAGAAGTTTTCCACGTTGTTCGACGCCAACGTTTCGAAAATTCCCGCACGCGCTACGCTGTAAAACCGTTTCGCCCCTCTCTTTAAGGGCCCTCGCCCTCCTCGAAGAAGGTAGTCGAACAACTCGCGTAAAAACTGAAGACTCGCGGCAGCTGTCAAAATCACAGCCTGACCCTCAGCTGCCTCGTTTAACGCGGCCTTATGTCTGTCATTCGTTCGTGAATTATCCATCTCCTCGGAGCGGGAGGAAAGAGAAGAATTAAAAGGGAAAAACATCGACTTCTAAAAATCGACCACACTTTTCACGCTGACAAGTTTCTCATCGAGTCTCGTTACCTCGAGATTCATGCTCCTCGACGATCTTTTACCGATTGGAAACGATTCGAGTGAAACAGAATCGTCGAAAGACGAAACTTTTGATTGAGAATTTTAGACGCCGAGTTGATTATTAATCTTCCATTTATCGTGTTTAATTTTTTCTCTATTATTTATTTTAACTTTTTTTTTCTATTCTCCTTTGGCCATAATAATTAGAGATGGAGAACAATCGAGAGGAATATCGGAGTAAAATCGAAGGATGAAATTTTTGGTTCTCTTAGTGTTAGTATAAATATTTTGTTAATTTTGGCGTTGTTGTTTCCTTCTTTTTTTTTTTTCACAGAATGCAACAGAATTTTGCGTGTTCAATGGCTATAACGATCAGAGGCATATTTGAGTTTCTACATTTACTTGAATTGAGATTTAAGTCAACAGAATGTTAAGAAGGCAGATAATAGAGGTTTCAAGGTTGAGTAGAAAGAAAGCTGATAACCGCATCTGTCACCAGATCTCTCTTTGAATAACCGTTACCTCGCAACTAATGGTCATTGAGTACTGGCGAGAAATAGGAGATGAAAATCGATAAAAATTAACACGAAACATATCCCATTAATGTCGATCAAAAATCGTCAGAAGAAATTCCACTTTCAATTTATTAAAAAAAGACTTGCCAATTTTATGTCTTACTTCGAAATTAAAGTCTCGAGATTTTATCAATAAATTTTTTCACTTACTACAAAGCATGTTCATATCTATTGAAACGGCAAAAATTAGTTCTATCGTATATCAATTGGCAATTTTCTTTATTTCAATATAGACTCTTGCTGAAAGGATTTTAGCAATTTTAGCAAGAATCACTATCTTTTATATCAATTATCTTTTATATTTCAATAGAGAATTTGCCAAAGAGATCGTGACAACAAAATTCTAAGCAAACGACATCCGAGGTTCTTGGAACTAACTCCCGTAAAATAGTGATTGCAAACTTTCGACGAGTAACGTTTCCTTCCGAGACGAAGATGTTGCTCGCATTATTCCGGCAACCCTAACACGGTCTCGTGCAACGGTCTCGCTTTGAACCCTCGGAACTTCAAATACAAACGCTGACGCACTCGTACGCCAGAGGCGAGTTGACAGCTTGTTGACAACAAAACGTCAACGAAACTTCCTTCAAAGGCTACGAAACTCTATCGTGAATTATCCACCGTGTCGCGAACGTTTTTCTCCCAACGTTCTCCCAATCTAAATTGCACGTACCCTGTAGCCTGCGCGCGCGAGATTTACCTAGCGACGTCAAGTTGAGAAATTCGAAGGAAGGATCTTCAACAAGATCTTCGACAGAGACTGATGGACCGTGTCTCGCTCCGATGGTGGCAATTTGCGAACACGAATTCTGTCTAACGCGAGCTTGGATACGTTCCAATATGGGGATGAAAATACCGGTCGGCTGGCGTTCTGTTTATGTTCACGTTGCGCGATCCCATGGAAAGATCGGAAGGTTGCTAAGAACAGGAGGGAAAAGTGAAACGAAGGAGGCGTTAAGGTCTCTCTGTTCTGAGAGAAGAGAGAGAAACGGTCGCGTGTGTCGTTCCCCGTGAATCATTTGACCGAAATAAGGTCTCGCCTCGCACTTGGAATATTTTCGTCGGTTTAATCATCGCAATGAAAGCATTAATGCCCACTTCTTTCGAGGGCGCCCACGATCCTGGGCCTGGGTTCACTGATTGTGTCGTCTGGAGAATGTTTCTCAATCAGTTCTTGTCGTTTTTTAATTAATTCTGTAATAAATAATTCGTTAAATAAATTAATTCTGTAAAAACGACAGGAATTGATTGATTAATAAATATTATAACTAATATTTTTCGATTAACTCTGTAATTGGAATTTTATTTACTTACAAAAGGAAGAGATTGATAGTGTGCTTCAACTTAAAATTTGCCAGCTAACGATTACTATAGTAAGTTTGGTATTTTTGTAACAGTGTGTAAGAAAGTATTTTTGAGATGTGAATTTAAGCTACCTTAGTAGAGTTTAATTTGAGATTTAATAATGATTAATGGCCAAGTTATATATATATATGAATATTTCTGGTATCGTTCGTATATCTTTTTTTTTTTTTTTTTTTTTTTGTTGCGTTAGGTGAAGATTTGTGGATATTTTGTGGAAGTCTCTTTTGCTAAATGGAATGGCAAATTTGCTCCTTCCGTCGACGTGTTAATGGATTTTCAATTTTTTAAAACACGATTTGTTCGATTTGTTTGATCTGTCGAATATAAATTGTACAATATTTATATTTGGAAGCGATCGATAGACACGTAAATTTTACGACTAAAATGAAGAAACATTAGAACGTAATATATAATTTAATTAATTAACAGATGATAACTATAGCCGTTACGATCTTTATGTTTTTATTGTTGCGCAATATTCTCAGATCATCACTGAATACATACAATACAAGTATTTCATAGATGTCAGGTATTTATAACGAAGGTCACAAAGCGTATAAAAATCAGAATAATTTAGGAGATCACGACAAATTTCGAGTGATAAAAAAAAAAATAACAGAAATTCACCCCATCGGGGATCTTACCTACTTAGAATGTTTCGAAGTAACAGTAAAATTGATCTCGAACTTGCCTAAAAAAAAAAAAAAAAAAAAACTATATAAATAACGTGTGTAAATACGAATGCAAAAATTAAAAAAAAAATTTCATCAATTAGTCAGTAATCATAGTAACAACGCGAAACGAAGATTGTTTCAAACGACGGTATATATATATATATATATATATATTTTTTTTGAACCGACCTGTACATACGTACACGCATTCGTTAAATTTCATCTCGGAATTGAACAATATTTTATGTAACACTCCCACATAATTTTTTTTCTCGAATGTAACAAACGTTCGTGAGAAACGTTCTGCCGCCGACAGAGGAGACGATGAAGGAGCGGGAGCATGCGTGGCTCGACCCGAGTATTTTCAAGTGGTTGCGCATTTCTTCCGCCGGTCACGCGGCAGGAACAACCGTGAAGAAAGTAACGTAATTTTCCACAAGTCACGGTTATAGTCACGACTACTGAATTTAAATACGGTCTACCGGCGTTCGAAACGCTGTTCCGCTACAATACCTTTGCCAACTGCGCCTTCATCGTTTAATAGAGATCATAGCTATCGACGTTACACCACTTGTGCATACGCTTGCCGGCTTTGTTAGAACGGAGCAAACGTTTGCGGCGTGTTAACCGTACGTTTTCGACTATTGAAATGCTTTCGCGAACGTTTAAACATCAGATTACATTCGCATTCATGCATCCTTTAACCTCTTGCGCTGGAATGCAGAGAACTTTTTGTCCCAAAATTGCAGTATTTTCTCAGTTTTAAGTGTATTTAAGTAGAACAAGTAATAAATTTATTAATAATTTCTCAATAATTTCTATCCAGTGATATCATCGCCGACGAGTTCAAAAAGAAGGCGACGAATTATGTATAATTATGTATAATTTTGGTTTGGTCTCACGTTATGGTCCGCAATCAGTTGCCAGCGCAAGTGGTTAAATCATATTTGTGTCAAACGAATGTTCTTGGTTGGAGACGTGGAGGTGGGAATTGAAATTAAGAAATTAACTGGCAATTAACGAAGAAATCGGCTGTTCGAAATCGATCGTTAGATGGTAAATTAAAGCATTCAGGAGAACAAAGATGATTTCCTTTTCGTATTGTCTGACATTGACTTATCTTGTGATAATATCTAACAGTAAGGTGTAATAAAGTTGATGCGTTTGAATTATTTCTACGTAATTTAATTTGAATGTAATGTTAGATATAAATTCGAAACCGTGTATAATGTTGAATGTAATTCGAATTGAACAATTCACGGTTGGGAAGAATAGAAATTGAATTTGGAATCCAAAAGTGAATTTTATCAGATTCGAAAAATGTATCTGTGACTTTGAACGAAACATTTGTCGATAATTGAAAAGATATTTATTCGAATGGCCTTTCGTAAGCGAAATGTATTTTTATTGGTGAAAATTGAGACATTCGATCGAGTAGTTATTGTTGTTTCTGAATTCCGAACTTGTTTCATCCTTGGATATCGTGAATCTCGACTTGGAGCCAAAAAGTCTCTGATATCATTTTTCACATATAACGTCCCTGTTGGACATTATTAAAGTC